TGCTCAAGAAACATTTATTATTATTATCAATGTTGAAACAGTTGTTGGTCTGTCAGTTGTACAGTTTTTTTTTTTGTGGATTCTTTGATGAATAGGAAGTTCAAAAGAACAGCATTTGTTTGAAATAGAATATTTTGTAACATTATAAATGTCTTTACTGTCACTTTCGATCAAATTAAGTATTGATTTCTTTCCTCCAAAAAATAAAATTCTCACTGACCCCAAACTTTTGAACGGTAGTGTATATATATGTGTGTGTGTATATTCACACACACATAACACAATAAGACATGGTGCAGCAGGAATTTTGCAGGGCTAGCACATTGTCGTGAATATGGGCAGGGCACCGAGGTTCGTTCTCTCTCTCTCTCTCTCTCTCTCTCTCTCTCTCTCTCTCTCTCTCTCTCTCTCTCTCTCTCTCTCTCTCTCTCTCTCTCTCTCTCTCTCTCTCTCATTTCCACTGTTATTCAGGTTATACTGCTGGACAGGATGCAGTGTCTGGGGACCTGGGTTGTGGGGACACAGTATCCGCAATCTCTGGGAAAACCAGAGTGGGAAAAAGATGAATGTGTTACCTCAACAAAGTCCCATCACACACCTGCACTGCATGTCAGAGGGGCCCCTTAGACTCCACATCACATACACAGGTGGTCCGCCAAAAAAACCTGGCCAGAGAGTGACATTGTTACTCTCCATTTATGTGCAATCAAAAAGTGATTCTGACAGGAAAACAGGAACTGAGAGGAAACAACTTTGAAGTGATTTAAAGTTTACTGTACTTCCTTGTTATCATTGTTTATGGAGTTCTCGTATTAATATGATAAATGTCTTCCTGATTATATGGGAAAACCAGAGTTCACTTAGGATAATATGATTAATCAACAACCTATTGTTTGATGTTTATTATCGTTCATTTCCTTTGTTACTCAAAATTGTTCAAATGATCAAGTGGAATGATGTCATTTTCAGTCTCATATACCCTGCATTGTAATAACAGAGAATTTCACACCAGGTGACATATAGCTGTATAGAAAGTGTTTTTGACGTCTTTGACATACGCTACAAATTCTTTCAAATTAATTTTCTAGCAGAATTAAAATGACCACACCATCCATCATAATTATCATCAAATGTAAAGTAAAATGAAAAAGATCTTAAGTGGAAGGAAAATTAATGTTAAACCTTTCCACTTTCTTTAAAAAAATATATAGCAAAATTAAAATGAGGTTGGGTTTTGATACTCAAGTAGTATGTTTAATTACATAATTTATTAAGATAATGCTTGCTCAGTGATCATGATTAAATGAAAATAATTATTTAAAAAAGCAAAATGATCAAAAAAAATAATTAGGTAAATTAGAAATGTAAATAAAAAATCATCTAATTATCTAATTATAGTTGGGTCTATATAATAATAATTATATAAATCTCGACACTCATTCTCACATTTAAATAGCTGTTAACTGCACATTGATATTCATGTCCAATATATGCTTAAGGCATATATCGTAAAAAAAAAAAAAGCTTTGCTGCTCTCTAGTGGACGTTTTGTAATGGACACAATTTTGCCAATTTTAACGTTAGGCGTACTGTGTAGACTAGAGGTGCTGTGTGTCTGACAGTGAAGGACAGAGATTCACAATCAGCCTGTAATGGAGCTCAGCTGGCCAAGTGACAGACACAGGACAGGAGTAGAGTAGTGCAAATAGCGATATGAAATGCATTTACTTATGAAATATGGAATACAATATAAGAAAAAAATATAAAAGTTTTTTGTAGGCCTATAGTTAAATATCAAAATTTTCTCTCTCTCACTTTCTAAGAGTAAAGGCCGGTTCACACCAAGAACGATAACGATAACTATATTAGCATCCACACTATGATATTGTTCTGTTTAATCTAAGCGCTTGCTTCTGTCACTTTAAATGCATCGAGCTCATTACAGCAGATTCTGATGGTCTATCTATGTTTTTAGCGTTAATCAGCTGGATAAAATCATTCGGAAAGTTATTCCATATCGTACTTTTCTTTTTACTGAGAAACGATTTTTTTACGATATATTTTATCGTTATCTTTATAGGTATCGTCATGTGAACTGGCCCAGATAAGGGATAAGGCCTATCCCAGATAGCACAAGTCTATTTGATGTGATGTTTACATCTGGAAGACGTATTTTTAAGAGTGTTTGCTCATCTGCAATACGTCTATAGGACGTTTCATCATGTCAGATATCAAATAGACGTTTCGAAGATGTCAGTTTAACATGCATTCTAAATCATTACATCTTAAAGACATCTTCAAAACGTCTATTTGACATCTGACAGGAAACGTCCTATAGACGTATTGCAGATGGGCAAATTAAAAATACGTCTTCCAGATGTAAACATCACATCAAATAGACTTAGCTATCTGGGATGTGGTTCTGAATTTCGTTTTCATCAGGCTTGGTTCCTACCATAGACTGTGTGGCTGCATCCGAAATCGCTCTCTTGAGTAGGTTACTTATTTTGAATAATTAATGACTTCAAAGCAGCTAAAAAGTATGTTCTATATAGTACGAATGTAATCTACATTTTGCCATGTTGTCAAATGTTACCTACCAGAGTCAGTTGCGTCGCTTCACTGCCATTCACAAATCCTCTCCCGTGGCCTCTTAGGCCCTGTCCCAAATGGAACCCTAATCACTCGCGGTCTTCCTCTGAGTCCGCACTTTCGCGACGTAACGCCGCTTTGAATGTCGGGAAGAAGTCTGCTGTGGAGTCCGCATCAGCGCGGGCTCGGGAAAAGTCCGCATCAAGGGCGCAAATCGACCGCAGACGAGCACCCTTCTGAGATCTAAAAATGACAAATGGGACACACTGCGGTCTCACGGACTTAACGGACACGCGCACGCGGCAGCCATTGTAAGTCCACAAGACCGAAGTGCACATGAAGTGTGCCATTTGGGATTGGGCCAATTGTGTCCATCAGATGCACACTTCAGAATCTCGCCGGAAGTAGGAGGTCGTACTACTTTTGTCACACATGCTGTTATAGGCGAAGTATGCGATTTCGTATGTTCCCTTAATTTTCTCTAAAAAAATAATTTTTATTTATTTTTATAATTTTATAATTTTTATTATTTATTTATTTATTTTTATTTTAAGAGGGACTCCATTAGTCCTCGAATCTCGTTTACTTTTACACATTCAAATCTACCGTGTTGACAGAGTCTCGGGTGCGCTAAACAAAAACAGTATTGCCAGATTTTATTGGGCGGAAGTCAAGGTTTTGAGAGAATAGCACCTTAAATTCGGTCGGGTTCGGAGGGATTGTGGAGAGTTTGAGCATTACAATCATCACCTCCAGCTCTCAAGGATTTTATTGCTGGCTGCCCATCATCCCTGATAGCACACGTAGCCTACATCACAGAGATGTCTATTTGATGTGTGTGTTTACATCTGGAAGACGTATTTTTTAGAGTGTTTGCTCATCTGCAATACTTTTATAGGACGTTTCCTGTCAGATGTCAAATAGACGTTTAGAAGATGTCTTTAAGATGTAATGATTTAGATGTTAAACTGACATCTTAAAGATTTCTATCAGATGTTAGTAAACAGCAGATGCTTTCCAGATTAAGTGATCTTTAACATACATCTCGCAGACTTACGTGTGCCATCTGCATAACTTTTTTTCACAGACCTAAAACTCAAATAGGTTTAGAATTTGCAATAAACAGCTAAACGGCCTAAGTTTAATGTAAGACAGCTTATTTTCATTTAAATGCTGTATTATATTGGGCTATATATTTTTATACAAAATATGATTGTTTCAGTTAAAACATCATTATTTTATTTTACGGTATAAGTAGGCTACTAGGCCTACTAATCTATACAGAAATTATATACAAGGAGAAAACAAACACTAAATTATACACAATATAAAGTTTTTTATTACATTTTGGAGTAACTTGGATAAATGAACTTTTATAGAGAATGTGAGAAGATGAGCTTCTCTAGCCTTCCAGATATCTCATCCAAAGTCAAATCAAGGTAGGCCTACACACTGCATCATTATTTTTTTTCTTACATATTTTTTTCACACCTAATATCCATTAAGACATTCTCTGTGTTCCAAAAGTTTTAAGCAATTCAAGTAATTTTTGTGTTTTGGCATTAGGGTGAGTGACATTCTCATTCTAGAAAGCATTTGATTGGACAAATATATGTCGTAAACATCTGCTTCATGTCAATTTGATCAATGTTCAGGATATAGATTGAGCTAAAAGACTAAGAGACACAGAACTCTCATTTTGATTTGAGTCTTGAAGGCCTAACATGATTAGAACTACAAAAACATGTATGATTTGTTAACTTCGAATTACATCTGCAGAGTAAATGAACGTGCAAAATGTAGAGATCAGAATAACTGAAGTTTAACTGAAGAAAACCACAGTGCCTATAAAAGGAAAGCACTGTCTTTATAGGGGCTAGTCAACAACATCCTGTGACACAGCTGCTGCGAGCTAAATCTCATGTATCTTCAGAGCACTTCACATAGTCTTACAGTTAGGCCTACATGTGGTTGAGCAAGATTTTTAATATTATGATCCATGCATATTTTTTTATGAAAGATGCCTTTAAAACAGAAACACGGCTTTCCAAATCCATTTAAATGATTCTCAAAGAAAGCTTCATTTCTTTAAATGCGTTTACGTATTCGGAACTGCTATTTCTGTATTTCTAAGAAATCCTCAGACTTCCTTATTTACAAATAGCACAGCGTAATACTCAATCATGAATTTGTCTAAAGTCTTTCCGAGTTAAACGGTTACTAAAAATGAGGATGTTAAATTATGTTGTTGTCTGCAGCTTTAATGTCTGACATCACATGCTCATCATATGCATGCGAAGGCATGTTTGTGAATTAAGCACTGACAGAGGAAAGGGAGGGAGGGAGGGGTATAAGCTAAATAAACACAACTACTGATCTCTATTTATCTCTTTCAACTAATGTGATCTCTCGGGGCACATGACGGGCCTCAAATGCAGATTGTGTGTGTGTGTGTGCGTGTGCATGTGCGTGTGTAGATGGTCTGACTGAGTATGTCTTTGTATGTGTCTGAAAGAGAGAAACACTCTTGATTTAGTTCAGAAATTAAGAATCTAAAGTTGGATTATTAAATCTATTATAGGCCACAAAAATGTAAGTATACAAACTAAACTATGTATTTTTTACTTTAAATTTATATTTTACTTTTAGATGTTGCTTTGACCATATAGTAGTAACATTTATTTCTTTATAAACTATTTTTGAAAATATGTTCATATTTTGACATTCAAGTATTGTTTAATTTGATACATAATATATGAGGATGCTTGTATCCAGTGACCATAATTATTTTTAATGACCTCCGATTATCTGCAAACTATCAACATCATATCGTATTAAAATTGTTTTCTTTGATTTAGTTTAACCTACCAAGCTGTTAAACATGGTAAACACACACACACACACACAAACTTTATCTTGTTTATCTTTTTCACTAGTTAATATTTCCGTCCTATGGAATCTGTTTTCATATCACAAGAGTAAGCAGTCACTCTTTATGTAATATTTCATATGTTGGTTTATTATTTGTGTGATTGGTTTAAAATTTGCACTTGTACTAGAGCACATCATGTGATCTATTTATACTAATGAAAACATTACTGGTTAGGTGTTTTAAAGACTAAAGTGTAAACCACCAAACTGGGGATATCATTATAAGTTTGATCAAATGTTTTCTTCTTTTCTTCAGCACCCATGATGCCTTTCTGGACCTTTCTGGATTTCTTCTGGACTATTACTGAACTCCGAGTAGAGAACTGCAGAGACTGACTGTGGTGAACATAGGTGTGATTGCAATTAACAAATCGATTAGTTGAAATAAAGTTCAATGAACACGGATTAAGGAGATGATTACATTTTATCTTAAGGATGGGTTGTGCTTGTAGTGACCAGAAACATGGCAAAGACTCAAAGAGTAAAGGGCATGAACATCATAATTCCTCACATTCTAACGCATCTCATGTAAGTATTGCTTTTTAAAACAAATTATGATAAGCTGGATTTTACTCACAAATTGTCTTACTTTGCCCTTTGAGCTTTACAGTGAAAAACGTCACCTTTCTGTTTAGTCCTTTGCTTTTACTCTTGATGAGTGCTGATTCGATCTGTGTTATATTGCTTGAATATTATGTTTAGTTTATATTATACTCACATGTATACATTTCTATTACATGTTATCTTTTTAAATACATCTTAGTCAATAAGCAAATGAATAATTTGATTTACAGTTGTCAAGAGATCACAGGAAGCAAAGCAACAATCAAGGTAATACATATTAATTTGTTGTTGCGGAATATGGCATCACGAGAGTGTTTTTCTTTGATTATTAATTGATTCAAAATAATTTTGAATACATCATAGTCATAATGCTGCTGGGCGCAGATCGTGTGTTCAAACTAAAATAAATAAAACTTTAAAGGCCAGAAGCTGTCATTACATGTAGTGGTTCACATGTTATGCCATAGAAGGAAATGTTACAGATGGAACAGATTTATTATGTATTTATTTGAATTGCATATTTTAACAGATTAAAATTTCTTTTAGATGAAGACATTGTTATCGCTCAATATGACTTCCAGCCTGCTAGTGATACTGATCTTCAATTCAAAAAAGGGGACAGACTCAAGATTATTAAGGAGTGAGTAAACAATATAGATACTTTTTTGAATAAAATAAAATTCAGCTTCTAATGTATTATAATAAGAGAAGATGTCCACTTAAAGAATCGGATATTTAATTGTGCATAAATCCAAAGACTAAAATCGGTTCGAACTTTGTGAACTTAATAAAAGTGTGAATGGCATAGTGGGCAAATCCGTCAATCCATTTTGCTCACATTTTTCTCACGTTGTTCCAGGTGAATTATATTTGTATTAATTGTTTAAATTGATAAATGCTAAACATCAGCTAAAATAATATATAAACACGCACAAATAAGACAAATAAGAGCCAAGTGATTACAAGTAACTAATTGTCCCATGTTTTTTTTAGGACTGGTGAATGGTGGTTGGCGAAGTCCTTGGCCACAGGTTATGAGGGATATATTCCAAGTTCATTCGTGGCAAGAGCACAAACATTGGAGGTGGAGAGGTAGGCAAAGATATAATTCATATCATGCATACTGTATATTTAAGCAATATCCCATAAAGTGTTGTCTGTTGTTGTGAATTTCCAACGCTATCTCACGACCAATTCGTACAATTTTGTACGAGTGATTAAAAGATGGCGAATTTTTACGAATTTGTACGATTTGTCCAAACCCACGTGATGGGTAGGTTTAGGGGCGGGGTCAGGGGTAGGTCATTCGTACGAATTCATACGAATTGGGCAACTCGTAAAATATGTACGATTTAGCAAAAATCGTACTAATTCGTACGAGTGAGGTCGTACGAATTGTTACGAATTAGCCACCTCGTAAAATTCGTACGAATTGTCGATTCAGCACTGCTGTATTTCATCCGTAGCCAAACTAACAGACTTCTCGTGTTCTCGTGTTTACTTAAGTTAAACGTTTACTTAAGTTTACGTGAGACTTAAGTTCTCGTGTTCTCTGAACTTTGAGTAACGTTCTGGCAAGGTTTTCTCAAAGTTATGAACAAACATTCTTCCAGTAGGCTAATGTTAATAGAACATTCGGTCAAAGTTATCGGCTCTTTAACAAAAACATTGTTAATACATGGTTCATGGAGCATATTTTTTCCTGAAACGTTTTAGTTGGATGTTCGTATAACGTTTTTTAAATGTTCCCTTAACATTCGTACCACCCAGAAAATGTTTTTAAAACATTTAAAAAAACTGGATGTTTTGAACTTGTCAAGGAACATTCAGAAAGAAAAAAAAAACGTTTTCATAATTTAAGTAATGGGAACATTGGCAAGGACGTCACTAGGCCACTTTTTAAGATGGGCTTCAGCCCCCCTAAATTTCTTCCCAGACCCCCCCCCCCCCCAAACAATTTGTGATTAGCTCCATAATCTGTACATAAATTTGTGATCGCCTCAGAAACCATATAAAAATGTATGTTTTATCATACCCTCACTAAGCCCCTTAATATTGAAATCCCAGATTCACCCCTGAACGCTGGCAAAATTATCTTTGTTAGCTGGGAGTCACCAAATCCATTCCACTGCTATGCTGTTCATAATAATATCAGGATTCTTGGAATGTCACTCGGAACTAACTATTGTATAATTGGTTCTGTTTTCTGTTCCAGATGGTTTTTCAAGGACATGAGTCGCAGAGACACAGAGCGTCTTCTGTTAGCGCCAGGAAACAAACCTGGTGCATTTCTTGTGCGAGAAAGTGAAACAACCAAAGGTCAGATCCCAATAACCTTCAGTGTCCCTTTAATATTTATTCACATAATCACTAAATAATTACATCAACATTTCACTACTTAGGACCAATAACAAAAGTGCACAACATTTCAAACAATTTCCAGTGATACAGTATTTCACTATTTACTTTTCTAGGCAAAATGTAGTGCAGCAAGAACTGCATATGGTATTAGTTAAATTTCTACCGTAAAAAAAAAAGAAATACGAAAGAAAACACTTCATAATATAATATTACTGTATTTTCGGTTGTCAAGGTTTTTGTTTTTACCTCAGACAAGTCAAACTAAGTTCATATTTAAAGGAGCACTGGATCCACAGCCTCAAAACTTGAGGCTTAAATTTTTCATTGATAATGTGTGCATGCCTGAATTTTTCATCTGCTGCTCTTTTTCAAGTTCACATCATGCAAAGAGCTGAAACTATGTAACTGATATCTGCATCTGCTTTTGCTCAGAGCTTGATGGAAGATATCCTTTCTTGTTTTATTTGTGTACTTGTGCAGGGGGAAGTGCAGAAACTAGTCTTCACTGGAATTTTCTTGTTTGTATGCAGATATAGTTCGATTTTGAAACTTTTCTGAGTAAACCTTGTAATGCATAATTTGGTGTGGTGGTCCATAAGCACGAAACATTGACACTCAATCAATTTGTTTAGTTTGTGTTTATATATACTGTATATAGTATCGTTCAAAAGTTTGGGTAAATCTCTTTGGTAGGATTTTTTGATGCTTTTAAAAGAGGCTCACCAAGGCTGCATTTATTTGATTAAAATAAACAAATAAAACAAATAAAAAAATAAAAATTAAATAACAGTAATATTGTGAAATTTAAATATCTTTTATAAAAAGACATTCATTCATGAAGTTGAATTTTCAGCATCATTACTCCAGTCTTCATTGTCACATAATGTCTAAAATGCTGATTTGCTGCTCCAGAAACATTTATTATTATCATCAATGTTGAAAACAGCATGTTTTAATGCTTAATATTTTTTATGGAAACTGTGATAAATTATTTCAGGATTATTTGGTGAATAGAAAGTTCAAAAGTGTAAAACTTTTTTAACTTTCTTAACTGTCACTTTTGATCAATTTAATGCATATTTGCTGAATAAAAGTATTCATTTCTTTCACACACACACACACACACACACACAAAATGTTTTGAACAGTACGACACTGTACTTGAAGACGCATACAGAAAATGCATTAAAATATCTGGAAATAGTTTTTCATTTTTGATTATATAAGCTCTTTTTTAAGGTGCTATAAGCAAATGTCAGCAATTTTATTTTCTTCAGCCCTCCAAAGACTGATATGAGAAATCCTGAACATTCGGAATGATCAGTTTCTGAGAGTTCACTTAAAGTTTGCTTCTTTGATTATTTTTTACAGAGCCTAGGACGACAGGTGTTAGTTCTTAGGACACTTATTTCAGTGATAACCTGATTTTGCTAAGACATGCTTCTGGATCAACATATTTTGCTCAACAACATTCCTGTCTGAAAATTTCGTCCGATCCCTACCCCTAAACATAGCTCTACCCATAAATGATCCCTTAAATCAGAGGGAAATGATAGGTGAAAAACACATATGTAGAAGCAGCAACTCCTGGTTGTAAGCCTAAACTTGACATTAACTGTAAACTTGTCCCTCAAATCTGATTGGTTGATTGGAATGTTGTTCCGGGATCAACAAAGATGTTGATCAAGGAACATGTGGTACTCGGTGAAATCAGGTTCACACTGATTCAAATTTTATGCAGACTATTTCAGTGCTTTAAAATAAAAAATTTCAGTCGATTTTGGCTGGCTGTGAAGGGGATCTTTATGAAAATAAGCACGGCGTAATGATCAGCCGCGTTATTTGACTGCTGTTTCTGAATGATCCTCCGCAGGTGCTTTCTCTCTGTCTTTAAGAGACTCCACCCCAGAGCAAAGTGATGTGGTCAAGCACTATAAGATCCGAGCCCTTGATAATGGTGGCTACTACATCTCTCCCTCCATGACCTTTTCTTCTCTTCAAGATCTAGTGAAGTATTACTCCAGTAAGTACTCCGAGCAAAGGTTGTTGCTTTACCAAGGACCCTTTCTGATTCTTCCACTGTATGCTTTCTGTGGTTGTAGCTTTGAAAATGTGACAAACGGTTGCTTTAACCACCAGATAAATAGGTCGGCTTCAGTCTCAGTTGTAGTCCACAATCTCGCCCCATTTTGGTTTGTTGTGTCTTTTTATAGAACTGTTTAACTAAATATTTGTTCTACATTCTGGTTTGTGCATGTCTTGTGTTTTTTTTTTCCCAGACAAAATCAGTAAGCATGGTTTAATTTCTGCCAGATAAGTAGATGCTAGTCTTGGCTTTAATTTGATAGTTTGTGACTCTCCTCTGAACATTCTTGTTCTTTTCCCAAACTTCTTTATTGAACCTATAGGGTCAGCGGATGGTTTGTGCCAGAGGCTGGGAAGTCCCTGTAAAACCGCTGACCCTCAGAGACCCTGGGCTCAAGATGAGTGGGAGATTCCCAGAGATACTCTGAAGATGGTGAATAAACTTGGTGCCGGCCAGTTTGGAGAAGTGTGGATGGGTAAGAAGCAGAAGAAAGTTCAGTTACGCAACGTTGCCTTTGGGTAAAAAAAAATCCTTATTCTTCCCTCTGCAAGCACATGGTTCCTATAAGACGATGATTACATTGATAATTATAAAGGAATAACTTTGATTAAACCGATTAAAATTTGGTCACACAACACCCTGGTAGTCAAATAAAAAAACAAATCTGGTACTGTACAACATTTGGAGGACATGTATTTTTTGCTCTGGAGAACTAACCAAATAAAAATATGTAGTCATGTTATTTTGATTTAAAAGTTAATTCAGATGTAATCTAAAGTAGGAGCCGATTCTGTTTTTAGTATTCTGACATCAGCAAAGTCTTTGTGCAAGTCAATGTTGCAGTATTGCCTCCGTATCTTAAAATGACCAAATATTATTTTTCACAATTTAATTAAAGACTTAAGTTAATCCGACACTTAATTTAATACGAAATGTAATTTACAAAATTAAAACCTCCCTTCAGAGTAAAATTGTAATTATACTGGCCTTGAATTTGTTTGTTCAAGGGCACGTGTTTGTGTGTCATGTGGCTTTGTGTGATACTGTCATATTTTTGCCACACGAATGATACATTATTTGTACCTCACTGGGGCTTTGACTTTGACCACCAGCTTCAACATTAATCAGAAGTCTCAAAAACCTCTGGCCCAATTTTCTTCAAAACGTAAATTTTCTTTGAATCTTTCTTTAATTCTTTAAACGTTCTTATACCTTTATTTGCCACAATATTTGTTTTCATACAATTATCTTTTTTATTTTTTTGTGTTATTTATTTTTTGTATTTGTATTTCATTTATGTAACAATATTTAGTGAGGTTTGTGCCCAAAACAAGAACAAACTGATTGGGTGAGAAAAATAAATGTATATTTTCAGAAGACAAGCATTAAAGAGATAGTTTACCCAAAAATGAAAATTGTGACATAATTTACTCTCCCTCAAGTTGTTCTAAACCTGTATGAGTTTCTGTCTTGTGCTGAACACAAAAGAAGATATTTTGAAGAATGTTTGTAACCAAACCGTTTCTGGACCCCATTGACTTCCATAGTATTTTTATTTTTTTTTCATACTATGGAAGTCAATGGGGTCCAGAAACGGTTTGGTTACAAACATTCTTCAAAATATCTTCTTTTGTGTTCAGCACAAGAAAGAAACTCATACAGGTTTGGAACAACATGAGTGTAGTAAATGATGACACAATTTTCATTTTTGAGTGAACTATCCCTTTAATATCTTTGACAATGGTGTTTCTCAAGTAAATTTATCTTGCTTTAGGGATGTTTACATATATATTGCGATTATTATTTTTTTACAGCATATCTGATAATGAATTATTGATTCTAGGCCCTTTCTCAAGAATCAAACCATTAGTATTATCTGTCATGAAAATTGTGTTTATTGAGCTGCCGTAGATCGATGTGGTTTTCTTCGCAAGTTTATTTAATACACCTGCGTTTGCCTGTGGCTCTTGTTTGTAGGGTTTTACAAAAACAACCAGAAAGTCGCCATCAAGACTATGAAGGAAGGCACCATGGAGCCAGAGGCCTTCCTACAGGAGGCGAATCTGATGAAGCAGCTCCAGCACGAGAGACTGGTCAAATTGCACGCTGTAGTGACCAAGGAGCCCATCTTCATTGTCACAGAATACATGGCTAATGGTTAGTATTAACACAACATTATTAGTTCTAAACTTCTTTTTTTTTAATTAAATGATGTTGTGACTGTCCAAAGTCCAAACCATATAATTGTTCTTGTCTTATTCCAGGAAGCTTGTTAGACTTTCTGAAGACAGATGATGGCCATAAATTAAAACTTCCCAAGCTGATTGATATGGCTGCTCAAGTAAGAATAATTATTCTTTTATGATTTCCCTTAATTGTCTTCATTGCTTAGTACCAATTAATTGATATTTCTCTTGCAATGTACAGTTGTGGCCAAAAGTGATCTCTGGTCTAGGAAAACTGACATCTTTACCATATTCAAATATTATAAAAAATTTGTTAAAGATTTTTTTAAGCATATTGCGTGGTTGTGCTTAAAGTGAATTGTTTAATGTGTGATAATAACACAATGAAATATGGCAATTTGTGCGGACATCATTTTTGGCCAGGTTGTCTTACAAAGAAATTATGAATACATGCAAAAAACATAGAGAGTCAATGAAATATTAATAACTGGAAATATTGTAGATGAAAATTTTAGCCTTTTCCTGTGGCTTTTTGTTTTATGGATTTAAAAAAAAAGTCTGTAACTATAGTTTGCCTATTTTTCCCAAATATTTTTTTTTTAGAGAAATACCTTGTAAATACAGCATATATATATATATATATATATATATATATATTCCTCATATTTTGATAGTTTAATAAAACGCATTGACAGGCGACAATAAGCCTTTCATAAATGTGATGTAGAACAGAGATGCATGCATGGAAAACAAACTCATAATTTGATGGTATCAGTTACCAAAATATACTATAAATAAAGCCGCAGGAACAAAAAAAAAAAAAAGCTGCCCGTTAGAAAAGGCTAATTTCATATATTCCTCATATTTTGATGGTTTATTCAAACTTGTAGGGTCATTAAAATCAGTTTTGGCCACTACTGTAGATTTAAAACTTTATGGAACAGGTCAGGACACATTTTAACGCTGCAGTGCGTGGAAATCTGCACACCTATACTGTACATGATTTTCAACTTCTGTAACTATTTTAAGTACTGTTTTGCACTCTCAGGGAGATGTAGAGGAAATGGTCTTTGGTTTTGTAGACACGTGGTCTGAACATTTTTAGATCTGAACACTTCTAACAACCGCCACAAATTTAGATTAATATCTTCTGGGCAGGATATTACGTACATTTTTCCACCGAGGACCTGAAGCCCCTGCCATGCATGACTGACTGTAATCTCGCTCTCTATGCAAAAGCAACTTCCTGTTAGAGACCACTGTGTTGATGCTGTCTGTTTTTCATGGTCTGCATTGCAACTAAAAATGCAATGATATATAAATGCAAATGCTTGATGTATATATGTTCGCAAAGCAAAGCCACTTTAAGGTTAATTTTGAGTTCAAAACTATCTGAATTCGACCTAAAAATCCTATGTACACTGTAAAAAAAGGTTGCTGCCTGAATTACTATCAACTTGGATGTTTAAGTCATTTCAACTTACATTTACTTTTAGTAAAGGCAATGTAAAAGCGTATGTCGTACATGTACTTACTCGTAATAACAATATATTATACATAATTACAATCAACCAAACCTAAACAAAAATATTTTGGGTTGATTTTAATAATATCATTGTAACGTTGCGGGAAGAATGAACCTAGAGTGAATCCAATTGCAAGCACATTTATTAAACAAACAAACAAACAAAAGAAACTCAGACTGGAAAAACGGACACAGCAACCATTACAACATTAAGAACTCACAAGGACTGAACTAAAACACAGGGCTTAAATACAGAGGAACGGGTGAGTGAAACAAGACACAGCTGGGCAAATTAACTAGGAACACAGGTGGAAAACATGAACACAAACGAGGAGCGGGAAAACTAGACAGGACTAAACCAAATACACAATAATGGGGGGAACACAAGACAGACAGGAACAAGACATGAACCCACACCGTGACATAGCCCTCCCCCTATGGGCGGCTCCCGACGCCCATAAAAAAAAAAAAAAAAAAAGGTTCAGGAGGGTGGTGCAGTGGAGGCGGTCTTGGGGGAGGGATGGAGGGCCAGATCCGCGCAGGGAACAGGACAAGAGCCTTGCAACGGCGGGCATGGACCAGGGAACGTGGGCGGAGCAGGATGCGCAGGCGGCGGCCAGGGCGGGGCAGGATGCGCAGGCGGCCAGGGCGGGGCAGGATGCGCAGGCGGCCAGGGCGGAGCAGGATGCGCAGGCGGCCAGGGCGGAGCAGGATGCGCAGGCGGCCAGGGCGGAGCAGGATGCGCAGGCGACCAGAACGGAGAAGACCCCTCGGGCGACCACGGCGGTGAAGACCCCTCGGGCGTCCACGGCGGTGAAGACCCCTCGGGCGGCCACGGCGGAGAAGACCCCTCGGGCGGCCACGGCGGTGAAGACCCCTCGGGCGGCCAGGGCGGTGAAGACCCCTCGGGCGGCCAGGGCGGTGAAGACCCCTCGGGCGGCCAGGGCGGTGAAGACCCCTCGGGCGGCCAGGGCGGTGAAGACCCCTCGGGCGGCCAGGGCGGTGAAGACCCCTCGGGCGGCCAGGGCGGTGAAGACCCCTCGGGCGGCCAGGGCGGTGAAGACCCCTCGGGCGGCCAGGGCGGTGAAGACCCCTCGGGCGGCCAGGGCGGTGAAGACCCCTCGGGCGGCCAGGGCGGTGAAGACCCCTCGGGCGGCCAGGGCGGTGAAGACCCCTCGGGCGGCCACGGCGGTGAAGACCCCTCGGGCGGCCACGGCGGTGAAGACCCCTCGGGCGGCCACGGCGGTGAAGACCCCTCGGGCGGCCACGGCGGTGAAGACCCCTCGGGCGGCCACGGCGGTGAAGACCCCTCGGGTGACCACGGCAACTCGGGAACAGATAACACACACACTTGCTCGGGAACAGACAACACACTCACTGGCTCGGGAACAGACAACACACTCACTGGTTCGGGAACAGACAACACACTACCTGGCTCGGGAACAGACAACACACTACCTGGCTCGGGAACAGACAACACACTCACTGGCTCGGGAACAGACCACACACTCACTGGCTCGGGAACAGACATCACACACACTGGTTCGGGGACAGACAACACACACACTGGCTCGGGAACCGACAACACAGACTCTGGCTCGGGAACCGGAACAGACAACACACACACTGGTTCGGGAACAGACAACACACACACTGGCTCGGGAACAGACATCACACACACTGGTTCGGGGACAGACAACACACTCACTGGCTCGGGAACAGACCACACACTCACTGGCTCGGGAACAGACATCACACACACTGGTTCGGGGACAGACAACACAGACTCTGGCTCGGGAACCGGAACAGACAACACACACACTGGTTCGGGAACAGACAACACACACACTGGCTCGGGAACAGACATCACACACACTGGTTCGGGGACAGACAACACACACACTGGTTCGGGGACAGACAACACACACACTGGCTCGGGAACAGACCGCGTCTCAGGAACAGACCGCGTCTCAGGAACAGACCGCGTCTCAGGAACAGACCGCGTCTCAGGAACAGACCGCGTCTCAGGAACAGACCGCGTCTCAGGAACAGACCGCGTCTCAGGAACAGACCGCGTCTCAGGAACAGACCGCGTCTCAGGAACAGACCGCGTCTCAGGAACAGACCGCGCGTCTCAGGAACAGACCGCGTCTCAGGAACAGACCGCGTCTCAGGAACAGACCGCGTCTCAGGAACAGACCGCGTCTCAGGAACAGACCGCGTCTCAGGAACAGACCGCGTCTCAGGAACAGACCGCGTCTCAGGAACAGACCGCGTCTCAGGAACAGACCGCGTCTCAGGAACAGACCGCGTCTCAGGAACAGACCGCGTCTCAGGAACAGACCGCGTCTCAGGAACAGACCGCGTCTCAGGAACAGACCGCGTCTCAGGAACAGACCGCGTCTCAGGAACAGACCGCGTCTCAGGAACAGACCGCGTCTCAGGAACAGACCGCGTCTCAGGAACAGACCGCGTCTCAGGAACAGACCGCGTCTCAGGAACAGACCGCGTCTCAGGAACAGACCGCGTCTCAGGAACAGACCGCGTCTCAGGAACAGACCGCGTCTCAGGAACAGACCGCGTCTCAGGAACAGACCGCGTCTCAGGAACAGACCGCGTCTCAGGAACAGACCGCGTCTCAGGAACAGACCGCGTCTCAGGAACAGACCGCGTCTCAGGAACAGACCGCGTCTCAGGAACAGACCGCGTCTCAGGAACAGACCGCGTCTCAGGAACAGACCGCGTCTCAGGAACAGACCGCGTCTCAGGAACAGACCGCGTCTCAGGAACAGACCGCGTCTCAGGAACACACACCGGCTCAAGTGTGTGCGCAGCCCACTCACACCACATGGCTGTGGCCATAATGGCCAGTGTTGCGGTCACTGAGGGCTCAGGCATAGCAGTGGCCATATCTGCTGAGGGCTCAAGCGGCGCACATGTGGCATGAACAGTCTCTGGCTGAGCTGACGTGACGAGAACAGTCTCTGGCTGGGCAGACGTGACGAGAACAGTCTTTGGCTGGGCAGACGTGACGAGAACAGTCTCTGGCTGGGCAGACGTAACGTGAACAGTCTCTGGCTGGGCAGACGTGACGTGAACAGTCTTTGGCTGCGCAGACGTGACGTGAACAGTCTCTGGCTGGGCAGACGTGACGTGAACAGTCTCTGGCTGGGCAGACGTGACATGAACAGTCTCTGGCTGGGCAGACGTGACGTGAACAGTCTCTGGCTGGGCAGACGTGACGTGAACAGTCTCTGGCTGGGCAGACGTGACGTGAACAGTCTCTGACTGGGCAGACGTGACGTGAACCTCTGGCTGGACGTGGTTGCCGTGAAGCTCTGGCTGGACGTGGCTGACGTGAAGCTCTGGGCTGGACGGGAACAGCGGCGAATGGGGCCCTGGGCTGGACATCACCAATCCAGGGTCGAAGAGTGGCCAGCGTGGAGAGTGGTGTCGGGGCTCCTCTCGACCACCTCCTCTACTGAGGCCTCCACGTGTCCCACGAAACTTGACCAACCTGGTCCCCTCAAAAGAGTGGCCTCTCCTCCGCTCGGTGGCTGGAGAAGAGACACTGGCGAACATGCTGCTGGATTCAATGAGGGTGAGTTCTTCTGTAACGTTGCGGGAAGAATGAACCTAGAGTGAATCCAATTGCAAGCACATTTATTAAACAAACAAACAAACAAAAGAAACTCAGACTGGAAAAACGGACACAGCAACCATTACAACATTAAGAACTCACAAGGACTGAACTAAAACACAGGGCTTAAATACAGAGGAACGGGTGAGTGAAACAAGACACAGCTGGGCAAATTAACTAGGAACACAGGTGGAAAACATGAACACAAACGAGGAGCGGGAAAACTAGACAGGACTAAACCAAATACACAATAATGGGGGGAACACAAGACAGACAGGAACAAGACATGAACCCACACCGTGACAATCATAGCCAACAAAACTTTACTGCAGATCTTTTTTAAGTAGCTATTAAATTAGCATCTAGTTGTGTAATTGTGTTTTGATCTTACAAATGAACCACAATCCCACATACAGTATAGCCTATATAATATTTAACCTAATAAAAAAAATACAAATAAAATGTTTCACTTTTAAATTGTAACAGTAAATATTGTTATCCACTAAACTGCACACTTAACTCTCTTTATGTTACAGATTGCAGAAGGCATGGCTTACATCGAGAGGAAAAACTACATTCACAGAGATCTGCGTGCCGCTAATATTCTCGTCTCTGAGACCCTGCACTGTAAAATAGCAGACTTTGGCCTTGCCAGGATCATAGAAACTGAATACACTGCACAAGAAGGTCAGTTCACTACTTTATTCCCACAATGCAGTGCTTTTGACAATATACGATTAACTGACAACTTTAAAGGTTGGGTGCGAGCTACTGACGTTCAAAAATAGCATCTTTCCATGTTGAGATTTGCCACTTTTACCACTTCAAGGCAGATTTTTTTGTCCTAGTGGCTTTATTTATAGTATTTTGTTTGATAACTGATACCATCAAATTACGAGTTAGTTTCCATGCATGCATCACATTTATGAAAGGCTTATTGTCGCCTGTCGATGTGTCTTATTTACCGATCAGGTGCGAAGTTCCCTATTAAGTGGACGGCCCCTGAGGCCATCAACTTTGGTACTTTCACCATCAAGTCTGACGTCTGGTCCTTTGGAGTTCTTTTGACAGAGATTGTCACATATGGCAGAGTACCGTATCCAGGTAATGGGGTTTTCTCTCTTGGGGTTCGCTTCCCATTCAGAACTGTGTAGGATAGATGGGTAGATTTCTAACAATCGGGCTGTGCTTTCCTCACAATTTCAGGTATGACGAATCCGGAGGTGATCCGTAACCTTGACAAGAGCTACAGAATGCCGTGTCCCGATGGATGTCCAGAAGAGCTCTATGACATCATGCTGAATTGCTGGAAGGAAAGGCCTGAGGAAAGGCCCACTTTTGACCACCTACAGGACACACTCAATGACTTTTTCATTGCTACTGAGGGCCAGTACGAGATGCAACCATAGCCTCCATTCTGAAATATGAATGGATAGATGAACTGAAAAGGCGATAATAGAAAATGGGGTACAAAAAACACATGAAAGGAATGAAAGGATGGACTAAACACCGGACCAAACAATGGATTATGGGGAATATACTAGAGCAACAACAAGATTGCGTCCTTGTATATCTGTATAAATGTTTTTTTTTTTTACACTTATGTCACTGTTGCCAAGGTTTAGTGTATTTCTGGGATTTGTTTTTTGGTCGTCTTATGGTATTTTTTAAGTCACCATGAAATCAAAATGGGCAAATCTTTTTTTTTTTTTTTTTTGAATATTGCAGTATTTATTATAAATGATTTATCCGTGCACATCTTTTCTTTTCTTTTTAAATTCATGTGCCCTCTATCACAACTTAATATATAAAAAACTGTAAGTAAGCCATTTGTTTGATTCCACCAAAAAATATGAACACAGTGGCTCTGTGGTTTGTTTGAGCCCAACACATCACTGGCTCAACCAATGGCATGAGATTGTGGCGGCGTTGTTTTATCCAAAACTTTCGAAGACAGGGTGAGTGTTTCACAAGTTATTATTTATGCAATTAAATGTGGTGATGCTAGTTTCAGAGAAATTACACACTTCAGCTATAAAACTCTCTGATAAAGCTTTTGGAAAATTCTGAATTATGACACATTTGTTTTTAAAATTCAGTAAACAGGATCTTCTTATATCTTACTACCTTGAAGTTTCAGTCAAACCATGCACATTATGTTTTAAATAAACTGACTGTCTACAGGAAACCATAAAATGAACTAGTCATTATAAGACTTCCTCCTGAGATAACAGACTGTGAATGTTCCGTTAATCAGGAATAGATTAAAGAGTTAGATGAAGTAGTTTGTGATTATCTGGTCATATACACTATACTGTTTAAAAGTTTGGGGTTGACCATTTTTTTTAACGTTTTTGAAAAACTCTCTGATGTTCACCAAGGCTGTATTTATTTGATCAAATATACAGTAACAACAGTAATATTGTGAAATAGTATACAATTTCAAATAACTGTTTTCCATTTTAATATATTTTAAAATGACATTTATTCATGAAGCTGAATTTTCAGCATCATTACTCCAGTCTTCAGTGTCACATGATCCTTCAGAAATTATTCTAATATGCTGCTTAAAATGTTTGGAAACATTATACATTATAAATGTGTTTTCTGTCACTTTTGCAGAAAAAAACAAACAAAAAAGTATTGATTTCTTTCAAAATAAAATAAAATCTTACTGACTCCAAACTATTGAACAGTTAGTATGATCATCATATAATGAAATATGTTCATCCTTAGGAAAAAAATAGTACATAAGATCCAAATTAGAATTGAAAGCTATTAAGAATAGCCTACATGTTTTTCAAAATGTTCACTTAAAAGAAGGTGCAATCATAAACTTAATTGATATTTTAAATAGCATGATCTTTGGAGCACGGTTCTCTATATTTCACAGTGCAAATCTCTGGTTGCTCAGATGAATATGAGAAATCCCCAGCATTCATACAGCACTTCTCCCTGCCTTAAACTCACCCCAGGGGCTTTTATATGTTTAGAGATAACTCAGTGAGAATGCAACCAACACCCAAGAGCTGCTCCGGTGGTTTCCTGCCTGCCAGTCTGCAGCTGAAACAGGACGCAGTGAGTCAGCGTTCCTCTCACGGAAAGCACTCTATGGCTCGGAATTCCAAACACGCTGCAGAACTTTTTCCCAGCATTCATGCACAATCAAAGGTGGCCAGTTAAGCAAAATATTTCTGGGAAGTGCATGCTGAAACCTTTTGAGTAATGCTCCCAAGCTGTGTTAATGATGCAGGACAAACTTCTGCAACCTTACTTGATATCTGTTCATATATAGCGTTGCTTTGATGGAATGATCATGAGGCTGACCAATGAACTGCCTCTTCTGCTACGAGGCTATGTTGACAGTAACAGTGGTAATGAATCGTTATCCGGAGCACATTTACTGTCTGTCATACTTTTTTCATTATCTAGCTTTTCACTGCAATATTAGATGGATGCATCATTAGATTTGTGAAATGCATATGAATATATGAGTGTTTTATATATATAAATAAGACAAATAAGAGGATTAGACTTGGAGTCAGCAAACTCTCTGTGTTGGCCAGCCCTCACTAAGCAGTGTGATTTATGTATGGAAGACCAATTATTCTAATGCATCATCACAAATTGCTTGTCTGCAGAAACGTCAACCCATTATAGAGATTACAGAAGGTTTTCTCTGAAAAATATACAATGAGCACCTCTTTGATTTAAACATCCAGTTTGGCCATGTTCCAACAGCTAGGCTGCAAAAAATCTCCACTCCACGTTATCTCCTGGCAGAAGCAAAACTGTCTGAAAAGAAAAAAAAAAGCCTATAAATATTATAAAACTGTAAAATCCATTTGATTATCAGTGTCGTTTAGGATCAGTTACAAATGATTTAATTTGGAACACAGCTTTATAGTGTGCTGAACCATTCAGCCTGCTTTGAACGTTTTGATAATGTAGTAAAATAATAATTTAAAAAATGGCAAGTTGACAAGTAAAAAAAAAAAAAAATTATTTAAAAAGTTTGAAGGAGGGTGATTATATTTAACTTAAACTAAAGCCATAGAAATTTAAGGTACACTAAAATTTGTTTTGTTGAAAATTAACAAAATTGGAATAATGAGTCAGTAAAGCTATAAAAATTTCAAAAACCAGACAAAATTACTTAAAATTGAACTAAATTAAAGTCAAATTAATTCAAAATATGAGTAAACCCTATAGTATCTCAATGATACTAAAATAACACTGGTCGTTTGAAGGCTATAGACCTTTCAGACTGGCATCCTGAAGAACTGTGCTGATTTTAGTCCGTTTAAAAGCTTTTGCAGGAGGTATAGTCATTGGAATTATATTGGATTTTGTGTGTTTTGAAGTCTGAATTAAAAAAGATATAATAACCTCAGTCAGAAAATGCTTAGTTCCATATTTTTGCTGGCTGGCCTGGAACCTGGAACTTGAAATGATGAGTTATAAATGAAGTTGATGCACATACACGTTTCCTCTTTCAATCTGTCTCAGACATTTCCACCAGGGGGTAGTCAAGCACAAGAATGATTTTGTGTCAGCCTACTTGTAGCATTGAACATCTCTGTAGAGTAGACTGTAGCCTCTGATAATGTGCCAGATCACATTATTTGACGACATCGTTTATATCTCTGGTCAAACGCTGCACTTTTCTTTTGAAACTCGCTTGATAAATCATCTGCCAGACAGTGAGCCTCAATTTCTTAATTGGATACTGACACTGTCTGAGCCTAAACTATAACAGTCAGCTCTTCAATTGTCTCTTTCACTCAGACGGCATTAACCTGCTATATCTATAACAATATTCTCATGTACCCCATGGCATGTACTGTGTAATAATGTGTTCTTTAAGAAATGTCACCCTCTCCCATTTAACAATTTACTTCAAGACAAACAATGTAAATTCTGCCATCGTTTTTTCACTCTCATGTCGTTCCGAATCCATGTGATAGGCCTATTCTTTCTTCTGTAGAATTCTTTTAGACGAAGGCGAATTTGAGACTAAAGCTTAAAAAATAGCTCTATAAAAGTCTTCTGAAGCCATATAAGACAGTTTTGTTTGAAGAACTAAAACAATATTTTGGTTTTATACTATTTATAAACTGTCATCAATGATAATCTTCACAACTGGTTATTGAATTATTGAGTTGAATCAGAGTCAGTCCGATTCTTGCACGAATGGGTTTGTGAAATGGATCAACCGATTCATTGAAAAGATTCAAACATCGTTACTTCTCCCTTCCTTTAACTTATGAAGTGGAGGCAATGGTCAAAGATTTCATCTTCAGTATGTCACACAAATGTATCATACTTTAGAAGACTTACAACGCATCATGGACCAACTTTATGACACATTTTTATATTGTTTTAAGCTTGGAAGTTGGAACGCTCCAGTCCTCATTAATTATAACTGTATTGGAACAACAAATGCTCGTTATTCAACACGTCATACGATTTTGGAACTAACTGAGGGTGAGTATAACATTTTTTCATTTTTAGGTGAACTATCTATCCCTATTATCTCTGTATCAAACACGTGCAGCTCAAGGCTTATGATCTGCCAGTGAACTTGAGTCAACATTTTGCTCCACAATTCTTTGCCTGTTCTGATAAAGTTCACTTCAGGGCCTCTGACTTCCCTGCAGTGCAGTCATTCTGCCTTACAAACAGAAATAATCGTGTGTCATGTCTCTATATAACATTGTCTAAATTACTAACATGCAGGGTAGTCGAGGCCATTGAGAACAACAAAACAAAAAGATTCGGGCAGACATGTTTTACACCAATGAACGGGGACTAGCAGCAACATCCAAAGGGGTCTGTCTTGTTTTAGCTTTTGTATGCGTTTGAGTAACCTCTGTCCGCGTTTGAGTATAAGCTCTGTCCGCGTTTGAGTAACCTCTGTCCATAGGTTGACTTTGCTGTGCTTCGTTTCATTTACGCACCTCGATCGAAGACCAAAATATTCTCCTCACACAGTCACTCCCTCCTTCCTGTATACTCAGTGAAACTGGAAAGAGAGTGTTATGAATACAAAACAATAAGGAAGTAATGAGGAATAAAATCTTGATTTATTGTCCCATTCTAAAAATGCATCCAGGTGGGTATTCTCCTTACCTACAAGAAACCTGACTAAACTGACCAAACGCAGTGCCTTGCAAAAGTACCCATTTTAAAAGTAGCGTGTTATTTCCTGATTAACACATCTTGCTCCACATTAAGAATGTTCTGGTGTGGTTTCCCCCCAATGTGTAGAACGGTTGCATATTGATATGAAACTCGGAAGTTTTTATGTTTGAATTCAGAGTCAACATGAAATCAAAAATGACACAATTTAATTTCTTTTTGTGCACATTTATGATCTTATCTTTGACAATTCACTCCTACTTTTTGTCCTCAATGAAAAAAATTCTCTTTCACTCTGAAATATATTAGATAAGTAGAATGGGTTTGCGAACAGCTTTTT